GCTTGCAATAATTCATTTGTTTTAGTTGGTTCTTGACCTGAAATTATCTTACTGGCTCTTACAGTTAAATTAATTCCAGTAACTATCTCTGAAATTATTGTATAATATATTTGAATGCTAATAATATTATATTTTTATATATTTAAAAAAAATTATAACTTACTGACAACATCGATCAATTTTGTTAAATAAGCTAGTTTCGCCTCTTTATTTTTTATATTTTCAGAATTTAGCTCTTCTTCTGAATACAAACCATTTAAAAAACCAGTTTCATTTATGATCTAAATATCATTCATTTATTAGTTACAAGATTTTTTATATTTGTTTTATTTAGAACATAAGAAATACGTTACTGCTGATATAATATCATGAAGAAATCGAAATGGTGGTTTTCTTAATAATTTTTCGGTAAGTGGTGGTTTTTTGAAGTACTTTCCGAGTAAATCTTGAGTTTTTTTAATTGTTTCCGGTTTTATGTCATCTACCATTGTTAATTATAAATAAAATATATTGTAATAGACATTTCTTATCCGTACTGAAGTTTGTTGTATTAAATGGTTGCTTGGCAACCAATGTAATACAATATAATAATATATGTGTAGTACTACATATATCGTTAACAAATGTTGCAATCATATTGCAATCATATTATAATACAAATCAAAATTAGATATTAAAACAGTAAAAAATTAATTAATTATTCTGAATAAAAATTTTATTTGAAAAAGAATATTTTATTACTTTACTATAGTTGATTACTTTTTATATAACCTCGATCATTTGATGTTATAGTTAATTGTGATTATTTTGAATAATAAATTATTGAAATAATTTTATTTTTAACTTTAATCGTTAAAAATTTTCCTCATTTCTGGCAGAAATAAATATGATATGGGATATCTTTAAAAATTTAATCTATAATATAAAAAAAATAAAAAAAATGTTTATACTAATATGTATTAATTAATTATTTAATTAATTTTATTATTATTTATAAAGTTTATTCCATTGAAATTATAAAATTAATTAACAAAATTATTTTTAATTAATGACGAAAAATTTAATAGTTGATTAAACATCAATTTTTAAATAAAGTTTTAGAATTTTAATAAATAATAAAGTAAATTTTAAACTATGTATAATTTATATATATAATAAGTTTTCCAGATTTTTAATAATATTTTATTTAAAAATTGCTAAATAATATTTTTTTTATAATTTTCAAATTCGAAGATTATAAAAATTATTTTTTGTATTAAAAATATTATTTATTTATTATTTAATTCTCTTCATAAATAAAATAAAAAAAATCATATTTATTGCATTAATAATTTTGAAAATAAGAATTTATATATTTTTCATATATTCAAGATGCAATAAAATAAAAAAAAATTAAGAATATAATGAATTGTGTTCAGAATTACTACAATAATTATTGTAATAATAATGACTATAATAATTAAATATTTCATAGTCATCTATATTATAAATATATGAGTATGATTAAATCGAGAATTATAAATATATCTATACTTTGTTTCTTATAAATTGTTTTGATATCTTATTTAGAATTTTTATAGCAAAATCGAAATTTTTATTCCGATTGCTAATAATTTTACAATTGTTTTTTATACTGAATTGGTAACATCGCATGATAATTATGTTAACATGAAAATGATAAAAAAATTTGATTGCTGAATTCTTAAAAAGTATTGAATATTAGTTTATTCTATATTTCGTCTGTGGGTAATTAATAGAATAATATGAATAATTTGTTTATAATATTTAAATTTTATTATTAATTATCTTCATAATTATTCAAAGATAAATATGTAACATTGGAATTATATATTTTAATTTTTTTGAAATTTAAAATAGCAGAATTTGAAATGAAAAATTTTAAAAAGAGAATAAATTTGTTTAATAATAATTTTAAGTTATTTTTTTATATTATTCGAATTCTTAATATAATTTTTAAAAAATCTATTTATTCTAAACATTGCTATTTAATAAATAAAAATCAGTACTTTTAGATTTATATTTTCTTAATTTTTTTATTATCATTATTATAAATCAATATTATAGTCAGTATTATTATAAGTCAATAATTCGAGGAACAGTGACTCGTAAAAAGAATTCGTGAGCAAGCATTATTTAAAAGAAAACGGATAAAAAGATGGACATCAATGCGTTAGTATTTTATAGTGCATTAATTAGTTTGCGATGAAAAGACGAATAAAAAGTTTTTATAATATTGTAAATGCAAAAGAAAAAAGATCGTCCATAAAATGCGATTCTTTATTTAATTTCATTTTCTTTTTTCAAAGACCATCATTTTTGTCATATTTTATAAAATATAAATGTATTAATGTTCACATATGAGACATTTGGTCTAAAATCATTTATGATTTTATTATTTGCACTCCGGTTATTTTATATATTGATACATGTCTTTATTGTCATTGCTTTATTGAATTTTCGTTTAATTGTATTTCCCATCAAATATTATATGTTAATCATGATTTCTAATGAGTTTGGCTTTTATTTTAATGTATGTTTTGTTGATTTTTTTTTTATCAAAATTAAATTTTTTTATTTTACGACGCCCCATGAAAGATTCTTTTCGTAAATCGATCATGTTCAAACGAATTCACGTTTACGAATTTACGAATTTCAAATAAATTATTTAGTTCCGCTAAGATGAATGTTGATTAAAATTATTAAATGAATTTTTCATCAGTAAAATAATTGTAATGCAAGCATCATTTTAATATTTATACTCAAAAAATTATTTCAAAAACTATTTCTTTGAAATTAGTAATTTATCTATGATGAGTAAAAAAATTTAATGAAATAGAAAATTTAATTAATTGAATAATTCATAATGTAAAATTATAAAATATATATTGCAAATCATATTATATATATTATAAACATATTATATATAATATATATAATATATATTATATATTATTATATATAATATATATATATATAAAATTATAAAATATATATTACAAATCATTATATATATGTATAAACTATAATATCATATAACATAAATATATAGAGATTGTAGACATAAAAATATTAGAAAGAAAATTTTATCTAAATTGAACATTTTTATTTAATTAATTTACTTATATTTAATATTTACCATATTAATATTATATTAATAATTATTAATATTCGAAAAAAATATTTATTTTGATAATTAAATTATAAAAATTTTGACTAATATTATTAAAATATGAATTCCAATTGATTAAAATTTTTTATTCTAATATGATAAATAAAAATAAGCATTTTTGTTAAGGTTACTAATCATTTTATTTTATATATCAGAATATATCAAAATGTCTTTGATCAAATAAAAATTAAATATCATACATAATAATATGGCATCATCCCGCTCACAAAATAAAATTATACCACACACAAATTACAAAAAAATCTCAGTATTCAGAGATCACAAAATTGATTTTGCTGAAAATCATCATAAATTGTAAAATCTAATATTCATAAGTTTCATCGTGACGTTATTATCCATATATATGTCGACGATATTTATTTGCTTTAAAAGAAATAGATCATCGAGATATCAGATATGGAAGAATGAATAAAAATAATTTAATTATAAATTAGTTTAACAGACTTATGTTTAACCTACGATATTGCAGTCAACAATACATAATCGACGATTCATGCTAATGTTACATATAATTTATACTTTTCTTCGTGTCGATAATATAATGACGATCGTTTTAATTTTTGAGATTTTCGAACATTGATAAAACTGTAATTTCTTTTTTTATTTTTTTAAAAATTAGTATTCAACTTTGCTATTCTTTCTTTTTAATAAATTATATTACATTTCCATCTTATATGTTTTACATCGATCATTTTGAATTTTTAATTAGTAAATGTATTTTAATGCATTTTCTTTTGAAATAATGTGTTAATTAATAATAATTAAAAATAAATTTCGTAAAAATTAATCAAATACTAGTTTTTTTTTAAAAGATTAAATAACTTTCAAATAATTATTCTGAAAAAAGTATTTTATTAAATAAAATATTATATTATTCTGAATTTGTTTTATTATTATTGTTTAATTTTAATCAAGTTTATTTATCAATTTAATCAAGATTTCATTTATATTTTTGAAAAAAGATAATATTTGTTTATTCTTTTGATAGTTTTGTAAATATCTTTTAATGCAATCTCAAAGGTATTATAAGAATTAAAAATGTTCACGTATGAATATTTTTCAGTATTTAAAAATATTAATCATTGATTCTTTCATCGAATAAATCAGATTGATCAGTGAGTTTATATTTGATATTTACAGTGGAATCATATTTTTATCCATATTAATATTTATTATTAATTAATATTTATATCCAATAATCAAATATTTCATTAAAATAAAATTATAAATTTCATTTTCATATTTGTAAACTTCATTTATAACTTTTTGCCACAAAAAAAAATAATTTTGCAATAATTTTATTTAAATTGTTGAAAAATTGCTTCATTGTAAAATATATTTACATATACTGTGACTTTTTCATTCAAAATATATTATTATTATATTAATAAACAAATTAGCGTTAAAAAAAACTATTTTTTTTATTTTATTATTTAACAAGTCACTCAGAAGTTACAATAAATTATCAAGGATTATTATTTACCAATAAATATTTTAATTTTTTATATCATTAAATTCTAAAAGTATCATGAATAGTCACCGATACCAAATAAATATAAATCTAGTCCAAGTTTATATTCATTAATCGTTCTTTTAATTATATAATTTTCTTTTTTCTAGTTTCCCTTATATCTTAAAATCTTAATTCCATGTTCATTTTCGACATCTTTTACATATCCACCTTATTTATTTTTGTATCGAAAATTCTCCCAAATCCAGACGATCATCTTATTTTTAGCCTCTATCACCAGATCTTGAAATTTTCCCCCCTCTTTCCAATCGCAATCCTTCAGATTTCTTTATTCAAGATAACTCCACAGGGTTGAACTATGCCGAGATTCGTTAGTTTCGGCCTCTTCGAGGTGCTTTTGCCCTCATCTTTTTTCAGAAGTTCCTCTATTGAATAAGGATTTTTCTTTTTCTGGGGTTGCGTCGGTCTTTCCTCGACCGCTATTTCTTTGGCCATAGTATTCTGCTCATTTCCGATTTTCAAAATTCGCGGTGACATTATCTTCTGCTTGTCACTGGTCGCTGGAGGTGGGCTCTGTCGATTTTCGAGATTTATAGACGAACCGGATGTACTATGTCTTACGAATGCACTACGATCGCTACCGATTTTTTGGCCAAGTTCTAGAATAATAGGTGAATTTTGAAATGGTTTGTAGTGATCCTGGGATTCCGTGTTTTCATCTAGATCGCTTTTGTCCAAGGAATCATCACTGCCTGCCATTGAACTCGAGCTGGATTTCAAATCGACTTGATTCGTTGGTCCATTCTGCTCTGAGAGACGTTCTACATCTAACGATCTATAATACATAAATTTTTAATTGTTTATTTAATATATCTTAATTGTTTGATAGAGATTAATTTTTAATTGAGTAGTGTAAATTTTCTGCTTTTTTTTATTATAAAGAGATTATAATATAATAAAATTAATTAAATTAATTTTTGTATAGATTTTTTTATATTAATGCTTTTAAATATAGGCTTATTTATTAATTTACCTTATTTTTTTTTTACTTTATTTATATTTTATTATTGTGTTCAAATATTGTATTTTATATATTCAAATAATTTATATATTATATATTATATAATATGTTTCTTATTTTTAGAAACTATAAAAATATATATAAAAAACTTTCATTATTTGAATGAAATGGAGAAAAAATATAAATGCTTGATTACAATTTTTAGTTCTTTTATTTATAGCTATCAATTATTATTATATTTCAAATGGCATAAATGGCATTTGTATTATTTATTGTTATTTGAAAAATTAAGAAAACTAATTAAATAGAAGACAGTTATTTAAGGAAAAAATTAAGTTATACTTACGTAAATGATTGCATTCCATGATGCAAATGCAATGTTGTTGCTTGATAAAGAGATGAATAAAAACTCGGGTTCCAAGATGGCGCGCTGGTATTACCAGAAGTCGTGGAAATATGCAATGGTCCCAATGTTCCTGGATAAAATAATTGGTAATCCGTCCTCATAAGTGCATCTATAAATAAAAATAAAAATTATTGATAATATAATGGTAATAAATATTGATAATAAATATAATTAAAAACATAATTTAACAAACAATATATCTCATTAATATTTAACATTTTTCTGAATTAAAAATATTGTTAAGTTGAAATTCTAAATTGTACTATTTTTAATTTCTCATAAAATTAATCATTACGTTATATATATATTATATGAAATATACAAAGTTTATTGCAATCTTAATTATTCTTTTTTCTTCATTTGTTATTTTAAATTAAATCAATATAATTATATCAATATTCGTATTTATAAATAATTTTTTGAAATGGATGAGAAGAATAGAGAAAAGATGATTTATTTTTATGATATATTAACAATTACAATAATAATTATAATATTGTATAAAATTATTATATTATATAAGCAGTTTAGACAAATAATATTAGTTAATATTTAAACAAGTAGGAATATAAATTTAAATATTTCAAATATAAATGAATTATAATAATAATGATCATTTATAATGAATTATAAATGAATTAACAATCGAAATTTTTAAATTTATTTTATAATTAATATTAAAATTTTAATATTTTTAATTATTAATATTTTTCAGAATATTTAAAATATTAAAATTATTAAAAAAACTTAATTAAATCTAATTAAAAAATAATAATATAATTAGCACAAGATATCGTGTTATACAACACGATTCCATGATTGATTAATATATAATTTTATGTTTAATATATAACTATGATTAATATATAAACTTTATGCTTACAACTCTATATCAGTTAGTAAAGAAAAAAAAAATCGCAGCGTTGTAGACAATTTACGGAATAAACAAAATAAATTTTGAGACAAATTGAGTTCTTATAAGTTGCGTGTCGGTCATCAAGATACAGATGAGTCAATCGCCGATCAGGATATTTTACAATTTCTTTTTTCTTTTTACTTTCTTCTATTCTTTTTTTCCTTTCTTTTCTTTTTTCTTTTCTTTCAATCGTTGCAACTTTATAATGTATTTCCTTTTTTTTTCTTTTCATTTTTTAATATATTTATTTTAATATCAATTTGATTTGATTCATTATATTTATGTATATATATTATTCCAATCATGATTTTGAGATATAAAATGATGTTTAAGGAATCATTTAATTAACAATATTCATGATACAACGTAATTTTTCTAATAATAGCACAATAAAAATAAATTAATTTTGATATGGATTTTTGATTGAAAACTAAGATTCTGGATTCGAGTTTGTGAAATGAATTAAAAATTTATTATCAATTAAAAAAAAGATTTTATTTCATAACAATAAGAATTTACCTCTATTAGGGACATTTGAAGAAATTTGCGAGGTATAGCTGCTCTGAGAACCACCCTCGATTCCTGTATGATCGGTATGAAGTCCACCGCCTCGAAGAATTCGATTTACTGAAGAAACAGAAGGTAAACTTTGAGGATCACAAGCTCCTTGTCGCGCAAGTTGTTCTCGGATCTCCCAAGCGAACATTGTCGGTTGTTCTTGTTTCATTCGTAAAATTTTCTTTACAACTGTAGGTGTAGCTACTTGCTGAAATAATAATAATAAATTTTAATATAAAAATTTTTGAATAAAGATTCGAATTAAATTCTAATAAAGGATCATATCAGACACAGATCTTAGAAAATTTCAATATAGAAAATGAACAAGATATGTGGAAATAATAATTAATATGTATTACTTATTATTATTAATATATCAATTTATAATCAATTTTACCAAACTACTAAAATCTAAATATATTGATATACTCTAATTAAGAAAGTTAAATTTTATAAAATGTAGACAGGAATGATGTAGTAAAATTGCATAGATTCTGATATTTTGAAAAAGATTTAATATACTAAGACTTAAAATTAATTCGATATCTTCAAAATTTAAGTGCTGTTTATTGAGATATAAAATGATCGATTTAATATTGATTCTATTCTTCTATGATTTTTTATTGATAATGAAAATGATGATAAGATTTCAATAATAAAATATATGAATAAGATTGTATAAATGAATAAGATTGATTTTTTTTGTCACAAATATAGAATTACTAAAGTACGCTAAAAAAACATTTACAATGTCGTATAAATGTTATAAATATTTACTGCAGTTTTACTTTTCTTTTCTATTATGATTTTTCTTTATAATATTTTTAATATTTTTTACATTTCATTTTTGCAAACAAAATTTTTGCTTTTCAATTCCAATTTTGAGAATTTTTTTTTATATTTTCTTAAAAGTATAATAATAAAAAAGTTAGTAATAGAAAGTTATTATTATTATTATTATTATTATTTTAAAATTTTGAATTTTAAATATATGATTCTTTACTCTAATTTGCATATATATTTGTTATATATTTACATATATAACAAATTCATTCATATTATTGATTTTTATTTTCTACGTCAAATTAGATAAATAACAAATAATCATTATATTTAATTTCATTTTCCATATACAAATAAATTTCCAAGAGTATAAAGAATATAAAGATTATCCATAATCAAAATATTTGAAATTTATTTATTTCTACTCATATTCTATTGCTATCAATTTAAATTCAGTAATAATCTTAACTTAATCTTAACTTAATCTTGATATAAATCTATTTATATCAATTATTATTCCTTATTTTTTAATATATTTTTTAATACTATTTTTTAATATCAAAGAAAAATTAAAAAATTTTAATTAATCATATTTAATTCTATTTTTTATAAATATGCAAATAATAAGTTATTTATTTTTATTTAAATAATATTGCACTTACAAAGAATTAACCCTCTGATACACACATATAAAATTTACAATCCTTTCCTTCCAATTTTCCTTCCAAGGGAGTCGGCACTATCTCATCGACAAATTAACGCGAAAGTAGTCATACTATCGTTGAAAAGGGCAGCAGCGACCATATGTCGTTCACAGGTGAAACATGTTAGTTGTGCCAGTGAATCAGATAACGGGTAAGGTCTCAAAGATAGGTGGATAATGTGTACCACATTTTATTACAGTTTAGCCCCGGTTTACAATGGAGAGAGGGTCATCTGTTCCTCGCGTCTCATTTCTTTTTGACAGTCCTTTCGAGTGGGCCCAGTGGTGCTCAATCTGGCCAACGTTCATTTGACTTGCTAATGAACTTACCGCTCGGGTCTTGGATAATTTTATGCTAACGCGATGGAAATATTATTCGTATACAGATTTTCAAGATCGCCGATTTCTCTAGGGCAACTACCATGTCACTGACACCGAATATGATACAACGAAGAAGATGGGGTATTTCCTCGTGAGATATTCTGTGTAGGAAGCATAAATTTAATTATTTTGGAATTTTTTTTTTGGAATTTTAATTCTTATCAACATTTTTGTAATTACTATTGTTTTAATTATAGAGATAGTCCAACATTTTTTTAACAAAAAAAAAATTTTTGATTATTAATAACGATTAATAATTAAATTTTTATTCAATCGATGTATAACTATGATTATTGTTTTAATTAGAATGATTATAATTTTTGAGTATAGATAATTAGATTAGTGATTAATTATTAAAATACAATTTTGTTGTTATTATTTGTATATTTATAATATTAAATGGAATTTTAATAAAAGTTAATAAAAGTCCTGAATTATCACAGTATTTTTAAATAATAGATATGATAGCTAAATAATATTAATTGAATAATATATTTAAATAATTGATCATACTTAAGTAATAATTTTAAATCAAAAATCAAATTGAAATTGATATCTAATATTGTTTTTGGATAAAAATTAATAGATATATATATATATATATATATATATATATACATAGTATATTAGATACATAGATATAACTTATCATTATTTTGATTATTGATTTTAATTATTTATGGATTTATGGATACTGATAATAATGCTTTCTTTTAGAATATTTTTTTGATTAATAATTATAATTAATAATATATAATGTATGTTTTGACTTTCTATTTTTTTTTATTGTATATAAATTTATAATGCCTTGATCATGCAATTAATATTAATTTTATTTATAAAAAAAATGATTTAATTGGAAAATATAGCTTGTTACAAAATATGAATATGTAATTTAAGAAAGGCAATTGGGAGATATCATTTGTTAGTTATCAAATTATATCTTTCGTCAATAAACTATCCAAAATATATAACGAAAAAGCATTAGATTTTAATTTAAAAACAATAATTTTCAACGTTTAAAGATAACCTATGATTTATATTCTAATGATTTAAAATATCTTTATAAATAAACTACTAATAAGTACGAAATAAAAATACTTGTGTTATATTATAGTTTAAATAAATATAAATAAAAACTTATAGATTCAAGAATAATTAGAATAACTTTCTATATCACGAGATTTTTTTATTAAAGTCTTTATAAAAATTTTTATTTCATAAGATGTTTATCATTTATTCGTATAAATGAAAAGTGAATAAAAATGATTAAAAATTAAATATTTAGAATTATATAATAGATATATAAAAATAAAATAAAAAGTTAAAAAGTTATTAAATATTTGAAATAATATTAAAAAATTGAAAATAGATTACTTACAATTATTTAAAAATAATGACACATAAACATACGATTAAAATTTTTTAAAACTACTATGTAAAAATAAAAATTAAGATATTCTATCAAACACTGATTAGATGTAGAAATTAAAAAAAAAAATTAATCAGTATAAAATATTTAGATAAATGTAAAATATTCAAAGTTATAAAAAATTATGAATTATATAATATTTAATTTCAAATCAAATTTCTAAATTAATTAAACACTAAATATCCAAAGTCAATTAAAAATAAAATAGAGTTTCATTTCAATTATCCATTAATCAATTAATTTTTTAAAGAATAAAAGAAAAAATATGAAATAATAAATTATTATATATAAATAAATTAAATATATTATAAAATATAAATTATATTAATAATTATAAATTATTATAAATTACAATAAATAAATTATTGTATTATTAAAAAAATTCAAATCATTATTTATATCTATAAGTAATAATAAATTTTTCTTAAAACATAAAAAACATGAGAATATTTCACGAAACAATGTAATTTAATCATTTTTGTTATAAATAGCGGTTTAAAACCTGAATATAAAATATTTCATTGCATTATAAAAAATTATTAAATGTTAAAAATTTTTTTAAAAAGTTTCTATAATTATAAATAATTAGAAATAAATAATAAAATAATAATTAATTATCAAAAATTCAGTGCCAATCCAATTATAATATTCAATAAATATGAAAAAGATTTTGTTCTTTTAATTTATACAAAAAAAAGTAAAAAAAAAAAATAGTTAAAAAATTAACTCTTTCTAAAACTTAATATAAAAAAAATTAAAAAATATTTTAAAATTACTCAAAAATTTTCAAATCATTACTAAATGGTTATCTTAAATAAAATATCGAAACAATCTTTAAAATTCATTCAATGACGAAACTTCGAACAATGAATTAATAAATAGAATGATCGATATCCCAATAAACGGATCATCTATCGAAAGGATTCGAAGCTATCGTTTCTGAACAAGAGGGGGACATTCAATGATAGAAAGAATGACCAGTATGTTCATGAATGATACCGATATGGAAGCACCACTGGTAGATAGAACATTTAAGGGTGCAACCGTCAAGCCGTCCGTCTAATAGTTTCAGAGGTTAGGACAAGCATCGCGTGCTCCCGGGAGCATCTCAGATTCTAATCTGACACTTCCGTCGTCATTGCCACAATTACACCGACCCACGATATACGTGTCCTAATGCCTACCCTCTTGCGTTGTACCGCGTACCTTTGAGCGACCAATGTTATATGGTATGGTTCCTGGCAATCGACGATGTCGTGTGCGTGCCACATCACACCATACCCACACACTATATTACAAAGGAAATTGACTGCATGCACATCTGGCGCTAAACGTTAGATAATATAAATTATCAAACAGGTTGACCAACTCTGTAATTACATTCGAAGGGCTTGTGCTTCTGGTATATTGATTGTTGTCTTCGGTGACAAGATGTGAAAAGATCTGAAGTTAATAATATTTTTTTTTTCAAAACGAACCTATTCTCATTGACTTCCTTTTTGGAATTTTTTGATGTTAACGTTTTTCGACTTTCTTTTTTGGAAAGTAAATGTGTGAATATTATAATGTTGAAAATATGGTAATAGAATTCGAGAAGTTTATCATTTGAATATTTATATTTGAAGTAACAAATTGTAAGAAAAATATTTTTAAATAAAAACATGGCCATAATTATAATATTTGCATAATTATTTGTCATTTAGATAAATAATGATATATAAAACATTTTTATTATTTAAGTTCTTTTAAATAGATAATTATTTAATTATTTAATAATTTATAATAAAAATCATTTACTTATTCAATTATTTATTTATTATTTTTAAAAAATAAATAATTATAAATAAATAAATAATAATTCGGATATGATGTTTAATTTTGTGGATATATTAGAAATTTGTTTTGAAAC